GATGTCCGTTCCGTCTTTCAGTTGTATTTTTGAAGTGGTTGTTTGCGGCAGCAGTCTCCGGTGTTTACCTATGCCGCCATCTTGGTCTCTCTCTCATATAGATGTTTCTCTCCCTCTTTCTTTAAAAAAATTTTTTACATTTTTTTTTAAGAGAGAGAGAGAGAGAGAGAGAGAGAGAAACATCAATGATGAGAGAGAATCATTGATTGGCTGCCTCCTGCAAGCCCCCTACTGTGGATCGAGCCCACAACCAGGGCATGTGCCCTGACCAGGAATCAAACCATGGCCTCCTGGTTCATCTGTTGACCTGGAACTACTGAGCCACACTTGGCTGGCTCTCCCTCTTTCTGTCTCCCTTCCTCTCTCTCTAAATTCAATAAATATACCCTCGGGTGAGGATTTAAAAAAACAAGCATTAGTCCATTGTCAGAGACTCAGAGTTCTTTTTCATAGTGTGGAGTCTGGAATAGCAGTAATTGGCTTTTTAGGCTTTCTACACTGTGTCATAAACTTCCATGGTGCGGACATGTTGAGAAGGTTTCCTTTGACCTTAACACGCAGATGGCTCTAGAGCAGTGGTTCTCAACCTTCCTAATGCCGCGACCCTTTAATACGGTTCCTCATGTTGTGGTGACCCCCAATTTCATTGTTGCAAATTGAACATAATTAAAGCATAGTGATTAATCACAAAAACAATATGTAATTATATATGTGTTTCCCGATGGTCTTAGGCGACCCCTGTGAAAGGGTCGTTCGACCCCCAGGTTGAGAACCGCTGCTCTAGAGAATGAGCTGTGGGGAGGACTCGTAAACCTCTGCATCGTCTAAGATAAGCGTGTCCCAGGAACCGAGTTCCCTTGGTAGGCCCTGGAGCTGTCCTTTACTGATCATCCATCATGTTTCTAAACCTAGTGTGGTCTAGCAAGTGACTTTAGAACAGTTTCTCCAAGCCTTATGAATTTAAATTTGCACACCAGAGGGTAATATTTCAGAACCAATCTGAAATGTAAACTTGTGGTTTTCCGTGGCCGGGTGATTCAACCAGAGGAAGCATCTGACCAGTGTTTGCCTGAATACCGGGGGTGGGCAAATGTAGGTTTACAGTGCATATCTGTTTACACTGTTAGGAATGGTTATTTTTATGGAATCCTTGTCAGCATCCTTTCAATTCTAGATTTTCAAATAAAAACATTTCATGCTTGCCTTGGCTGGTATGGCTCAATGGTTAGAGTGTTGGAAGGGTTGTGGCTTTGATTCCCAGTCAGGGGCATGTACCTGGGTTGCGGGTTTGATCCCTGGCCCCAGTTGGGGTGTGTGCAGGAGGCAACTGATCAGTGTCTGTCTGTCTGTCTGTCTGTCTCTCTCTCTCTCTCTTTCTCCTCCTCCCTCAGTCCTTTCCACTCTCTAAACATCAATGGAAAAAATACCCTCAGGTGAGGATTAACAACAACAAAAACCACACACACACAAAAGAACAAAAAAACATTTCATACTAGAAGCATGGATTTATAAAGTAGCAGCTGTCATAAAAAAAGTGATAAGGCTGGAAGATATGAAAACTTTAAGGGGAAAGTATGTGTGGGAAGATTTAGAGCCTGTAACACAGAGTTGTTTTCAAGAATCTCAGCAAAACTGGATTTTTCTAGTCCCAAAAGGTATAGACCACATTTATTATTCACTGATTAGACTAGTCCAAAGCTAACTAGAATGCCTGGCATAATCCAGACATTATTTTTGGACATATTCTCAGATGCCACATGCATATATCATACAGAATACGTTGGTCTCTGTTTTTTAGGGCAATTTGGATTTTCTAAGTAAAATTCATTTTACCTCTATTTGCTATATATTCCAAATCTAACTTCCAAATCTTTTATTTATGATGTTTTTACTGATTTCAGAGAGAGGAAGGGAGAGGGAGAGAGATAGAAACATCAATGATGCACTCTACTGGGAATAAAGCCCATAACTGGGGCATGTGCCCTTACTGGGAATCAAACCAGCAACCTTCTGGTGCATGGGATGATTCTTAACCAATTGAGCCACACTGGCCAGGCCCAAATCTTTTTTTTTTAATGTTTTTATTGATTTCAGAGAGTAACAGAGAAGGAGATAGAAACATCGATGATGAGAGAGAATCATTGATTGGCTGCCTCCTGCACGCCCCCTACTGGGGATGGAGCCTGCAACCTGGGCATGTGCCCTTGATCAGAATTGAACCCAGGACCCTTCATTCTGCAGGCTGATGCTCTATAATGCTGAGCCAAACCGGCTAGGGCCGGGCCCAAATCTTTTAAGCAGTTGCTGGGTAAACAGATCACCTATTTGAGCTGCTTAACCAATAGCTTGGGAAAGTGTTCTGCCAGTTGGCTAAATTTTGTAGAAGTGGGTACCAATTTTACAGAACTTTTTACCTTTAGAAGACTGACTTAGATGGTTTGATATACAGTGAAGCCTTTTAGAGTCGATCAACCCATCTAGTAATATTGTTAGCGAGGAGACTATCAGGGGTATATGTAAGTTTAGCTTTAGTTTTACTTTTATTAATGTAAAAGCATTTACATAATAAGTTTGCATTACATCCTGGGCCCTGAAATATTACTTTTTAAAAGAAAAACTGTCATACAAATCATCTTTAGTTTGCTCACTTTTTCTTCATTAGTGTTTTTACACAGAGAGGTGATAAATTTTTTGAAGAATTTTTTCCCTTTGCAGTTTGCTTACTTCCTTTACTATTCACTTACACACTGAAAGAGCAGCAATGTAAAGCACCTGTGAGAAACCTTTTCCCTTTGTAACCTACTGGGTTTGTGTGATTTTTGGAAATGAGACAAGTGTAATTTTGGCTTTTTAAAATTGTAAATGTATAGATTAATTCACAAGTCCTTGTAAAAAATGCAGATGACTGAAATAGCATAGCAATTCTCAAATAATACTTGTTAAGCTAGCTCACTTTAGGGTAAACTTCTCAGTCATTCAGACCAGACAAGAATTAGCAGTGCTCACCCACCCATCTCCCGCCCCCCCTTCCTATGTTGAGGGATTTATTTGAGTTCTTAGTTCTTTGAGTATGAGAATAATTCTAAACCCGTATGCATCCCCTGTAGTCTTCAGCTCACTACAGGGTTCTAGGATCCAGTGGCTGTGGTTTGGCTTGTTTTCTCAGACTCTTTCCTTGAGATTTATATCCTGATCCTGGTATATTAGAAAAGGCCTTTGGAAAAAAAATGAGATTAGATATGCAACTACAATTTTGCTTACAGTGCCAACTAGCACAGCCTTGAGATTCTCTGTTAAGTCAATACTAGTGAATCTTCTTTCCCTTTAATAGATTCTAGCTGCTCAGTTCATCGGAGCTGGAGTCTAGGTCAGAATTCATTCTTTCTTGTACACATGGACCACCTTCTCATCCCACTCAGTGTTGATGAACAAAAACAGGGCTAGTTTTATTTTGTCTTGTTTGCATATTGCCTTACTTTTCCTTTTCTGTCACCAGACATTCAGCTGCTTACAAAGTCACTCTACCCACACCAGAGATTATCCCCATTTATCTCAGCAGTTAAGACAGACACAGTTCATATTCACTGTGGCTAAAAGCAAGGGTACATCCTTAAGGTGGTTATGGTATGTGAGGATAGGAGAACAAGAAGACCAATGCTCTGCTATGGAACATTATGAATATTGGCATTGTTTTTGTTTTTTTTAATTTAAATTCTTCATTGTTTAAAGTATTACATATGTCTCCTTTTTCCCCATTGACCTCTCCCCCAGCCGCTCCCACCCCCCAGCTCATGCCCTCACCCCCCTACTGGCTGTGTCCACCATTGGTTATGCGTATATGCATGCATACAAGTCCTTTGGTTGATCTCTTACCCTCCCCTGCCTTCCCTCTTAGATTGGACGGTCTGTTCGATGCTTCTGGCATTGTGTTTTTTTTCCCCCATTAGACTAAAAGCCAGTTTAAATGGCTACCTTAAAAATAAACCTAATCTGTATTTTCAGCCTCTCTAGAGAGACTAAATTCATATTTTCCGTTTTCCTCTTTTTTTTTTATTTCTCTCTACTTAGCATTGAAATCAGTGTTACATCTTTTATTATTATTTCGGTTTATTTTGTTCATTTGAATCTCCTTTTCTACTTTTTCTTTATGTTTGGTTCTATACATAGTGAAGCTTGAGGCTATTGGTACAGATATTCACTAACATAAACTTCATTTATTTGGTTTATAAGCCAAAATCTTATTTTACTTCTTCCTGAGCCTGAGGAGAAATCTTAGAAAAGTCCATTGAGATTCAGGTTATAAACACACTACTTAATTACTGCACAAGGTTAACCACAGAGTCTGCTGTCACAATAGAAATACCCAGAAGAGGGCCTGAAAGAAGCCTCCATACTTCCACCCCATGAACTCTCTTACTCTGACCGGGAATCGAACTGTGATCTGGTTCATAGGTTGATGCTTAACCACTGAGCCACACTGGCCAGGCTAGATCTCCTATCCTTTGAGAACAATTCAAATATTACCTCTTCAGAAGAAGCTAATGTCAGTAACCTCTGCAATTGGAAGTAGTCTCTTCCTCCTCTCCTGTAGTTGTCTGTTCCTTTTATTGAATGTTAGATCTCTTTCTGGTTCATTTAGAGTCGTTTATGTGCATTTTATCTCCCACTTAGATTCTAATCTTGAAGTCAGGAGCTGTAAGTTTTTACTATGTCCCTGCAGTGCTGACGCAGTGCCAAAGTCGTCCCTTATGCTTTGGAAGGGCTCAGTAAAACATCTGTCCAGGACACTGATTTAAAGAGTCTTCCTGGCCCTGGTTGGTTTGGCTCAGTGGATAGAGCATTGCCTGCAGACTGAAGGGTCCCAGGTACGATTCCGGTCAAGGGCACATGCCCGGGTTGCGGGCTCAATCCCCAGTGCAGGAGGCAGCTGATCAATGATTCTCTCTCATCATTCATGTTTCTATCTCTCTAGTCTTCCTGTGCAGGTCAGATCTCTGACATTAAATTGCAGTGTGACAAATATTTGTCATTCAAACCAGATTTTAGGTAGTTGGTGCTTCTAAGGTAGGTATACTATTTCCTGTTTTTATGAATGTTTTCTTAAATACTAACTTTATTTTTAATTTTTTGGGAAATTAGTAACTTTACATGTATAAGATAGGAGTAACAACAATAACTTTGTCATGTGGCTATTTTGGGTATTAACTGGGCTAATTTACTCAAAGCACCTAATATAGCATCCTACATGTGTTAAATGGTCAATAAACTAAGCAGCTGTCATTACTTTTAGAAATTTACAATTTGAGATTTCAGATTGTTGGTGGTATGAAGGCAGGTGCTGCTGCCGCTGATTTTTTTTTTTTTTTAATATATTTTATTGATTTTTTACAGAGAGGAAGGGAGAGAGATAGAGAGTTAGAAACATCAATCAGCTGCCTCCTGCACATCTCCTACTGGGGATGTGCCCGCAACCCAGGTACATGCCCTTGACCGGAATCGAACCTGGGACCTTTCAGTCCGCAGGCCGATGCTCTATCCACTGAGCCAAACCGGTTTCGGCCGCTGATTTTTATGTTTTGAACTGTGCTGAATAGTTTCCTAGGAATTAAACTAGCCCTGAGATGTTATGTCAGCTGAGGATTTTGGTTTCTAGGTGACAGTATTGCAGCAGGAAGCAGAGCTGGCTCTCCCTTCAGAGGAAAAAGCTTTCTGTGGGGATCCATGTAGCCTTTTTGTTTTGTTACCAGATTCTTTTTTCCCAGCGCTCAGATTAAAATGACAGTTTAGCCCCGGCCGGGTGGCTCAGGCTCAGTTGGTTGGAGCATCGTCCCCGTGCACCAAAAGGTTGCGAGTTTGATTCCCAGTCAGGGCACATACCTAGGTTGCGAGTTCAGTCCCCCATCAGGATGCATATGGGAGGCAACCAATCAATGTTTCTTTCTCACATTGTTGTGTGTGTCCCCTGTCCTCTCTCTCTAAAATCAATAAACATATCCTTGGGTGAGGATAAAAAAAAAATTATTGATAGTGTAAAGTAGAGAATAGAGAGCCTCTGCAGAAAGGCTCAGCAGAACTTCAGGGAACTGACTGCCTGGAGAGATGAAAAGCAGTTTTTGTTTTGTTTTTGTGTGTTAAGCACTCACTTGGTAGAAACGATAAACACCACAATAGGAAGGGAAAGCTATATCAGATATAGGTGGCTGAGACACGAATCCCAAAGTATCTAACCTCTCCCTCACATAAACGGGCAAACAGGAGACATAATGAGTGAAATAGAGACGTGGTGACCTGGAGGAATTTCTTCTCAAGGGGTGCGAGTGGGGCCTGATTCAAGGAGCCGTCAGCAGTGGATACATTTCCCCTTTTGTGAAAAAGGAGCAGCTAACTTGGGGGTGAGGACTGATAGACCCATGGAGCCACAGTGAGCAGAACTGTATGAGGGCTGGGCTTTCCTAGGGCCACAACAAAACCTGCATGTAACAGGACTTGCAGCTGCAGCGGAGGAGTACAAAACAAAACAAACTGACAGATATTGGCAACATCTTCATTTTATAGTAGACTGGAGCTTAGAACTGAATTCCTGACTTCCCCTTCCATCCCCAGCGCACACACGCACGCATGTTCCCCTGTATGTAGCCTCCCATCTCGGAGTGGTGGCTCCATCTTTCCAGTTGCTTGGACCAAAACCATCGTAGTCATCCTTGGCTCCTCTTTCTGTCATGGTCCATGTTCAGTCTGTCAGAAAGTCCTGTCCACCTTATCTTCAAAATGTAACTAGAATCAGGTCACTCTCACCACTAACAGGACTTTTACCCTAGTGCCAGCCACCATCGACCGTCCTGTGCCTGGATGACTACAGTAGTCTACGTTCTCTTACCCCACTACAATCTGTTCTTGATAGATCAGCAGAGAGTCACCCCTTTCCCCCTACTTTTTTACAAAGGTATAATTTGCCAACAGTAAAATTCACTCTTTACGCACACAGGTGTATGAATTTTGACAACACACACAGTCTTGTACTGACCACCATAATCAAGAAATAGAACATTTCCATTGCCCCAGAAAGTTACCTCATGCCCTTTGAATTCAGCAAGTCCCCTCCGTCTACCCGTAGCTTCTGCAAAGGGTCTCTTTCGTTTTTTAAAATTTATTGGGGTGACACTGGTCCCGCCCTTTAGTTTACCTTTTCAAGGATGTCATATAAATGAGATCTTTCATTTAGCATGATTATTTAATTTCCGAGATCGGGCGCATTCAGGTTGGTAGGCCGGAGACTAGCATACTGTATTTAAGACTCATCCACATTGCATCCATCAGTAGTTTGTATCTTTTTATTGCTGAGTAAGTACTCCACTGTATAAAGGTACTGCAATTTATTCACTAGTTGACGGACTTTTGGATTATTTCCAGTTTTTAGCAGTTCTGGATACAGCTGATATAAACATTCACATTCACACTCAGGATTTTGTGTGTACATACATTTTCATTTCTCTTAAGTCTTATAGTAACTTGTTTAACTTTATATGTAACTGCCAAACCATTGCTAAAGTGGTTATACCATTTTTCATTCCCATTGACAATGTTGGAAATTTCTAGTAGCTTAACTTCTTCATCAGCACTTGTTACAGTCACCTTTAGTTTTTTAATTTGAACATCCTAATAGGTATATAGCTGTAACTCTGTGTAAGTTTTAATTTTTCATTTTCTTAAGGACTAATGATGTAAGCATCTCTGTGTATGTATTTACCATCTACACCTCTTCTTTGGTGAAGTGTCTGTGCAGATCTTTTGCTAATTTTTTAATAGTGTGTCTTCTGTTTTCTCTTTTATAGGGGTCGTCTGTTTTCTTACTGAGTTGAGATAGTCACATATATTCTGGGTAACGTTCCTTTATCTGATACATACTTGCAGAATTTTCACCAGGCCCATGGCTTGTCTTGTTATTTTCTTGACAATATCTTTCAAAGAGCAGAAGTTTTTATTTTAAAGTTCAATTTACCATTTTTCTTTTATGATTTGTGTGTTTGTCTTGAGTCTTTACCTAGCCCAGTGTCACATAGATGTTTCTCCCATTTTCTTCTGGAAGTTTTATGGGTTTCAGTTACAAAATGATGCTTGTGATCCATTTTGAGTTAATTTTTATATACAGTATGAGGTTTTGTATGTCTTGCATAAGGATGTTCAATTGTTCAAACACCATTGTAAAAACTATTCCATTCCACGTGGCATCTGTGTCCAAAATCAACTGATCATAACTTTGTGGATTTCTGGAATCTCTATTCTGTTCCATAGAACAGCATGCATATTCTTCACCAATAGCACACTGTGAATAATGTCGTTTTATAGAAAGTCTAAAATCATTTCATGTGAATCCTCC